TGTGGAAATTTTATTTTGAAGCAAAAGTCTGAGATCATCTGAGGAAGTAAGAAGTAGAAATGTATAAAAGGGAAAAAAGGGAAAACTTCATGAAGTGAGAGAAGCTAGCAGGACCATACAGGTACTTCATGTGAGGCTCCAAACTGCCCTAAATTAGAACAAATCATGGAGCATTTTATTCCCTCTGAGTCTAAAATAAGACGTAAAGTCTGTCCTTCCTCCTGAATCTGTATGAAACAATCCACCAGACAAAAGATTCAGAGATAAAGTATAAGGAGACCCTCTCTGAGACCTTGAAGGAGGAAAGAACCTTTAAAATCTCCAATTGAGGAAAGTTACCAGAGTGAAATTAAGAAAGTGATTATACATATTTTCATATCCCTAACATTCGCTTTGTGGCCTAATTTTTCCGGAATAATCTGAGGCACTTTTCCCTTCATAACAATGACCTCTCTGGGCTTTTGTCACCTGTGAGCGCTTAATGAGGCTCCGACTGAGAGACCATTTTACGCTTTAAAAAGCTTTAAAAAGCTTTAAAAAGCTTTGTAGACGCTTCTTTTGAAAGCATGAAACTGGAAATATTGATTTACACTAAAATGAACATTCTTTGTGGCGGCACGGTGATGTGGTGGTTAGCACTGTCGCCTCCCAGCAAGAGGGTTCTGGGTTCAAATCCCGGGGGAACCAGGACCCTTCTGGGTGGAGTTTGCATGTTCTCCTGTGTCTGTGGGTTCTCTCCGGGTTCTCCGGCTTCCTCCCACCGTCCAAAAACCTGCATGTTAGGCTGATTGGAGATTGGGGAAATTGCCCTTAGGAGTGAATGTGAGTGTGGTTGTTGGTCCTTGTGTGTCTCTGTGTGTCCCTGCGATGGACTGGCGGGCTGTCCAGGGTGACCCTGCCTCTCGCCCGTTGACCACTGGGATAGGCTCCAGTTCCCCCCGCGACCCCATGAGGGAATAAGCAGTATTGATAATGGATGGATGGATGGATGAACATTCTTTGTGTGATGAACAGTTGTTGGACACATCTTTTATGAAGCAATATTGGAGATTTTTATTTTTATTTTCACCCAGCATGGAGGCAACAGAGCAGCCTTTAATATAACATT